CGGTGAGAGAGGGCATTCTTGTCTAGTGCAATTTTTCAAAGGGAATGCTTCCAGTTTTTGCCTGTTCAGTATGATATTGACTGTGGGTTTGTTGTAAACAGCTTCTGTTATTTCGAGATACATTTCATTGATACCTAGTTTATTGAGAGTTTTTAGCATAAAGGGCTGTTGAATTTTATCAAAGCCCTTTCTCTGCATCTACGGAGATGATCATGCAGTTTTTGTCTTTTTTTTCTGTTTATGTGGTGGATTACATTTATAGATTTGCATATGTTGAAACAGCCTTGCATCCCCAGAATGAAGCCTACTTGATTGTGATATATAAGCTTTTTGATGTGCTGTTGCATTCAGTTTACTAGTATTTTATTGGAAGATTTTTGCATCAATGTTCATCATGGGCATTGGCCTGAAGTTTTCTTTTTTAGTTGAGTCTCTGCCAGGTTTTGGTATCAGCATGATGTTGGTATCATAAAATGAGTTAGGGAGGATTCCCTCTTTTTGTATTGTTTGAAATAGTTTCAGAAGGAATGGTAACAGCTCCTCTTTGTACATCTAGTAGAATTCGGCTATAAACCCGTCTAGACCTGGACTTTTTTTGGTTGGTAGGCTATTAATTGCTGCCTCAAATTCAGACCTTGTTATTGGTCTATTCTGGGATTCAATTTTTTCCTGGTTTAGTCTTGGGAGGGTGTAAGTGTCCAAGAATTTATCCATTTGTTCCAGATTTGCTGCTTTATGTGCATAGAGTTGTTAGTAGTAATCTCTGATGGTGGTTTGTATTTCTGTGACATTGGTGGTGATATCCCCTTTACCATTTTTTATTGCATCTATTTGATTCTTCTCTCTTTTCTTTTTTATTAGTCTAGCTAGTGATCTGTCTATTTTGTTGATTTTTTCAAAAAACCAGCTCCTGAATTTTTTGCTTTTTGAAGGGTTTTTTTTGTGTCTCTATCTTCTTCAGTTCTGCTGTGATCTTAGTTATTTCTTCTCTTCTGCTAGCTTTTGAATTTTTTTTGATCTTGTTCCTCTAGTTCTTTCCATTTTGACAATAGGGTGTCAATTTTAGATCTTTCCTTGCTTCTCATGTGTGCATCTATTGCTATAAATTTCCCTCTAGACACTGCTTTAAATGTGTCCTAGAGATTCTAGTACATTGTGTCTTCATTCTCATTAGTTTTGAAGAACATCTTTATTTCTGCTTCATTTCATTGTTTACCCAGTCATCATTCAGGAGCAAGTTGTTCAGTTTCCATGTAGTTAAGCCGTTTTGAGTGAGTTTCTTAATCCTGAGTTCTAATTTGATTGTGCTGTGGTCTGAGATACTGTTCATTGTGAATTGCATTATTTTGCATTTGCTGAGGAGTGATTTACTTCCAGTTATGTGGTCAATTTTAGAGTAAGTGCGATGTGGTGCTGAGAAGAATGTATAGTCTGTGGATTTCGGGTGGAGAGTTCTTTAGATCTCTATTAGGTCCACCTGGTCCAGATCTGCATTCAAGTCCTGGATATCCTTGTTGATCTTCTGTCTCGTTAATCTGTCTAATATTGACAGTGGAGTGTTAAAATCTCCCACTATTATTGTGTGGGAGTCTAAGTCTCTTTGTAGGTCATTAAGAACTTGTTTTATGTATCTGGATGCTCCTGCATTGGGTGCATATGTGTTTAGGATAGTTAGCTCTTCTTGTTGCATTGATCCTTTTACCATTATGTAATGCCCTTCTTTGTCTTTTTTGATATTTGTTGGTTTAAAGTCCGTTTTATCAGAAACTAGGATTCCAACTCCTGCTTTTTTTTTTTTTGCTCTCCATTTGCTTGGTCAATCTTCTTCCATCCCTTTATTTTGAGTCTACGTGTATCTTTGCACATGAGATGGGTTTCCTGAATACAGCACACTAATGGGTCTTGACTTTTTATCCAGTTTGCCAGTCTGTGTCTTTTGATTAGGGCAATTAGGCCATTTACATTTAATGTTAACATTGTTAATGTGTGAATTTGATCCTGCCATTTTGTTACTGGTTGGTTGTTTTGCCTGTTAGTTGACACAGATTCTTCATTGTGTTGTTGGTCTTTACCATTTGGTACATTTTTACAGTGGCTGGTACTGGTTGTTCCTTCCCATGTTTGGTGCTTCCTTCAGGAGCTCTTGTAAGGCAGGTCTGGTGGTGATGAAATCTCTTAGCAATTGCTTGTCTGTAAAGGATTTTATTTCTCCTTCACTTATGAAACCTGGTTTGGCTGGATATGAGATTCAGGGTTGAAAGTTCTTTTCTTTAAGGATGTTGAATATTGACCCCCACTCTCTTCTGGCTTGTAGGGTTTCTGCCAGGAGATCCACTGTGATTCTGATGGGCTTCCCTTTGTGGGTGACCCGACCTTTCTCTTTGGCTGCCTTTAGTATTTTTTCCTTAATCTCAACCATGTTGAATCTGATGATTATGTGCCTTGGGGTTGCTCTTCTTGAGGAATATCTTTGTGGTGGTCTCTGTATTTCTTGGATTTGAATGTTGGCCTGCCTTGCTAGGTTAGGAAAGTTATCCTGGATAATATCCTAAAGAGTGTTTTCCAGCTTGGATTCATTCACCTCGTCACATTCAGGTACACCAATCAAGCGTATATTAGGTCTTTTTACATAATCCCGCATTTCTTGGAGGCTTTGTTCCTTTCTTTTCACTCTTTTTTCTCTAATCTTGCCTTCTCGCTTTATTTCATTGACTTGATCTTCAATCTGTGACATCCTTTCTTCTGCTTGATTCAGCTGTGGAAACTTGTGTGTGCGTCATGAAGTTCTCATGCTATGTTTTTCAGCTCCATCAAGTCATTTATGTTCTTCTCTAAGCTGGTTATTCTAGTTAGCATTTCTTCGAACCTTTTTTCAAGGTTTTTTGTTCCTTTGCATTGGGATAGAACACGTTCCTTTAGCTCAGAGAAGTTTGTTATTACCCACCTTTTGAAGCCTGCTTCTGTCAACTCGTCAAACTCATTCTCCATCCTTTTTTATTCCCTTGCTGGTGAGGAGTTGTAATCCCTTGGAGGAGGAGAGGCATTCTGGTCTTTGATAATTTCCTCCCTTTTATGCTGATTTCTTCCCATCTTTGTGGATTTATCTAGCTTTGATATCAGGCAGCTGCTTGAAGAGGCAGTCTGTCCCTTGTCTTCAGAGGCACTGCTGGGCTGTCACGGACTCAGTTCACTGCTATGTAAGCTTCCTCTGGCTTTTGTTTACACAGGAAGATTAGACCCGCAGACACACTTCCCCCCACCTAGTTTGATCATTTCAGGTCAAGCTCAAACTGATGTGCTGGCTATGAAACTCTCAAGTGAGAGGGCTTCAGTTTGCTGGGCTTTGTGGGGGAGAGACCCCCCCAGCCGTATCGCCTCTCTCCCTGTGCAGGTAACTCTCAGGGCTTATCAGTCCAGCACAGGTCTCCTGGTCTGTGGGTTGTAAGGGCCATGGGAGAAGCACAGTATCTGAACCAGAGTGCTGGAGGGGAGAAAGCCCCCAATCCTCCAGTCAGATGCACTTCCCAGATGGGACAGCACCCCGTCCTGCCTCAGTTTGCCTTGCTTGGGTTATACCCACTCTCCAGCCAGTCCCATTGAAATGAACCTGGTACCTTGTTTGGAAATGTGGAGATCACTCGCCTTCTGCATCTCTCTTGCTGAGAACTGTGCTCCAGAGCTGCTTCTATGGCCGTCTTGGTGGAATCCTCTGCTGAGAACTTTTTATGGTAGATTGTGTAGTTGATTTTGCAGTATATGTAATGTGCAAATGAGAAGAATATATATTCTGTTGTTTACGATGGAGAGTTCTGTAGATGTCTGTTAGGCCCATTTGGTCAAGTGTTGAATTTAGGTCCCAAATATCTCTGTTAGTATTCTGCCTCGATGATCTGTTCAATACTGTTGGTGGGTGTTGAAGTCTCCCATTATTACTGTCTAGTTATCTAAGTCTCTTCAGTCTCTAAGAACTTTTTTCTAAGACTATTAAGGTGGTACCTCTATGACTCTGCAAGAACTACACCATTACTGAGCTTGGGGTGCCCTCTAAAACAGAAATACCTTAGATCACAAAACTCAAGTCCTTTCAAATCTGGAAAGCCTTCCCAAAAAGGCTGGCTATAAATAAGCCCAGACAGTGAAAACTACAATAAATACTCAACTCTTCAATGCCCAGACACTGAAGAACATCTACTAGCATTAATACCATCCAGAAAAACATGACTTCACCAAATGAACTAAATAAGGTACCAGGGACCAATTCTGGAGAAAGAGAGATATGTGACCTTTCAGACAGAATTCAAAATAGCTATGTTGAGGAAACAAAGAAATTCAAGATGGCACAGAGAAAAAATTCAGAATTCTAGCAGATAAATTTAATAAAGAAATTGAAATGATTAAAAAGAATCAAACAAATTCTGGAGCTGAAAAAATTCAATTGGCTTACTGAAAAATGCATCAGAGTTCTTTAATAGCAGAATAGATCAAGCAGAATAAAGAATTAGTGAGCCTGAAGACAGGCTATTTGAAAATACACAGAAGAGACAAAAGGGAAAAAGAATAAAAAACAATGAAACACACCTGTAGGATCTAGAAAACAGCCTCAAGATGGCAAATCTGAGAGTTATTGGCCTTAAAGAGGAGGTAGTGAAAGAGATAGGAGTAGAAAGTTTATTCAAAGAGATAATAACAGAGAACTTCACAAACCTAAAGAAAGATATCCAAGTACAGGAAGGTTACAGAACACCAAGTATATTTAACTTAAAGAAGACTACTTCAAGGCATTTAATAATCAAACTCCCAAAGGTCAAGGATAAAGAAAGGATCTTAAAAGTAGCAAGAGAAAAAAAATAAATAACTTACCATGGAGTTCTAGTACATCTGGCAGTAGACTTTTCAATGACAACCTTATAGACCAGAAGAGAGTGGCATGACATATTTAAAGTGCTGAAGGAAAGACAACTTTTACCCTAAATAGTATAACTCATGAAAATATCTTTCAGTGGCAGCAGGAACAGAGGCGGAAGGGGTCCTGCAGCGACAACGTTGTCGGCGGGGGTGGCCAAGGGAGCTGAGCACTGAGGGGACTTGCCCGCTCAGAAGCTGGATCTCGAGCTGGGCAGGATGGATCACCACCAGCTGGGGACTGGGCATTACCAGGTGCTTCTTAATGAAGAGGATAACTCAGAATCATTGGCCATAGAGCAGCCATCTACTTCAAACCCAGCACCACAGATTGTGCAGGTTGCCTCTTCAGCACCAACAGTTGAAACTGACTCTTACCCTCCACCATATAGTAATATTACTGCAAAAGTACCTACAAGTTCAGATACAGAAGTTTACAGTGAGTCTTATCCTGTGCCACCTCCCTATAGTGTTGCTACCTCTCTTCCTACATACAATGAAGCTGAGAAGGCTAAAGCTGCTGCAATGGCAGCTGTAGCAGCAGAAACATCTCAAAATATTCAGGAGGAAGAGTGTCCACCAAGAGATTACTTCAGTGATGCAGACCAGCTCAGAGTGGGGAATGATGGCATTTTCATGCTGGCATTTTTCACGGCATTTATTTTCAACTGGCTTGGATTTTGTTTATCCTTCTGTATCACCAATACCATAGCTGGACGGTATGGTGCTATCTGCGGATTTGGCCTTTCCTTGATCAAATGGATCCTTATTGTCAGGTTTTCTGATTATTTTACTGGATATTTCAATGGACAGTATCGGCTTTGGTGGATATTTCTTGTACTTGGCCTGCTCCTTTTCTTCAGAGGATTTGTTAATTATCTAAAGTCAGAAACATGTCTGAAAGTATGGCAGCTGCTCATAGAACAAGGTATTTCTTCTTATAGAGACTGCATCAACCCAACATTCCTTTCTTATACCAATGTGAAATTTCCAGATCATCAGTAAACCTACAACTTTAATAGGATAGAAGACTACTAATTGCAGAAGACAAATTAGTGAAGAAAAGACAGAGCTTTGAAACCGAATGGCAGAGTGGCTTATGTTTACAGGCCACTTCTGTTCATTCTTTAAGTATCTATATTTCATTTGTTTTGCACATATGCATATGTGCCCACTTAAGAGATCTGCATATACTTGAAAGAAATCATAAAGTTGTGGCACTTAAGTCCAGTCACATTTGGTTAATCAGTGTTTGATATAATTGAAAGAGGTGAGTGATAAACAATCTTCCAGCATGTAAATGCCATTGACTTTTGACCTGATATTTAGTATAATAAAAATGAAATTATTAACCATGAAAAAAAAGAAAAGAAAATATCCTTCAAACATGAAGGAGAAATAAAGATTTTCCCAAACAAAAGCTAAAGGATTTCATCAATACCAGACCTATCCTACAAAAAAAGCTAAAAGGAGTACTTCAATCAGAAAGAGAAGAATATTAGTGAGCAATCATCACCTGGAGGTACAAAACTTACTCTTAATAGTAAATACACAGAAAAACACAGAATATTTTAACATTGTAACTATGGTGTATAACCTCTCTTATCCTAAGTAGACAAACTAAATGATGAACGAATCAAAAATAATAGCTACAACAACTTTTCAAGACACAGTACAATAAGATATAAATAGAAGCAACAAAAAGTTTAAAAAGCAGGGAGATGATGTTCAGGTGAGTTTTTATTAGTTTTCTTTCTACTTATTTCTTTGTTTATGCAAATAATATTATCAGGTTAAAATAATGAGTTATAAGATGGTATTTGCAAGCCTCATGGTAACCTCAAACCAAAAAACATAAAATGAATACACAAAAAATAAAAATCAAAAAACTAAATCGTATCACCAGAGAAAATCATCTTCACTAGAGGAAGACAGGAATAAAAGAAATAAAGAAGAGAAGACCACAAAACAATCAGAAAACAAAAAATAAAAATGACAGAAGTAAGTCCTTACTATCAATAATAACATTAAATGTAAATGGTCTAAGCTATCTAATCAAAAGATATAGACTGGCTGAATGAATGAAAAAACAAGAACCATTGATCTGTTCCCTACAAGAAACACATTTCACCTATAAAGACACACATAAACAGAAAATAAAGTGATGGAAAAAGATATTCCATGCCAATGGAAACCAAAAAAGAGCAAAAGTTACTATACTTGTATCAGACAAAATAGATTTCAAAACAAAAACTATAAGAAAAGACAAGGAAAATCACTATATAATGACAATAGGGTCAATTCAGCAAGAAGATATAACACTTTTAAATATAGATGCATCTAACACATGATCACCCAGGTATGTAAAGAAAATATTACTAGAGCTAAAGAGAGGGATAGGCCTCAATACATTAATAACTGGAAACTTTAACACCCCACTTTTAGCATTGGACAGATCTTCCAGAGAGAAAATCAGCAAAGAAACATGAAACTCAATCTGCATTATAGACCAAATGTATCTAATAGATATTTATAGAACATTCCAAGAGCTGCAGAATACACATTCTTTTCCTCAGCACATGGATAATTCTCAAGGATACACCATATGTTAGCTCACAAAACAAGTCTTAAAACATTCAAAAAATTGAAATAATTTCAAGCATCTTCTCTGACCACAATGCAATATGATTAGAAATTAATAATAAGAGGAATTTAGAGAACTACAAAAATACAAGAAAATTAATATGCTCCTGGGTCAATGAAGAAATTAAGAATAAGATAAAGAAAAATTTCTTGAAACAAATGATCGTGGAAACACAATACACCAAAACGTATGGGATATATTAAGAGAGAAGTTTATAGCTATAAATGCCTACATCAAAAAAGAGGGAAAACTTCAAACAAACAATGTAATGATGCATGTTAAAGAACCAGAAAAGCAAGAACAAACCAAACCTACTATTAGTAGATGAAAATAAATAATAAAGATCAGAGCTGAAATAAATGAAATTGAAAAAATACAAAAGATCAATGAAACAAAAAGTTGATTTTTTGAAAAGTTAAAATCAACAAACCTTTACCCAGGCTAAGAAAAAAAGAGAGAAAATCTAAATAAATAACATTGGAAATGAAAAAGGAGACATTATAACTGATACTGCAGAAAATCCAAGGATCATTAGTGGCTACTATGAGCAATTATATGCTAATAAATTGGAAAATCTAGAAGACATGGACAAATTTCTAGATACATGCAACCTACCAAGACTGAACCCAGGAAGAAATCCAAAACCTAAACAGACCAGTAACAAGTAACAAGATGGACGCCATGATAAAAAGTCTTCCAATAAAGAAAAGCCAAGGACCAGATGGCTTCACTGCTGAATTCTACCCAACATTTAAGAAGAACTAATATCACGACCAGGCACAGTGGCTCACGCCTGTAATCCCAGCACTTTGGGAAGCCAAGGCGGGTGGATCACGAGGTCAAGAGATCGAGACCATCCTGGCCAACATGGTGTAACCCCATCTCTACTAAAAATACAAAAATTAGCTGGGCGTGGTGGCGTGCACCTGTAGTCCCACCTACTCAGGTGGCTGAGGCAATAGAATTGCTTGAACCCAGGAGGCAGAGGTTGCAGTGAGCCAAGATCAAGCCACTGCACTCCAGCCTGGCAATGGAGCGAGACTATCTCAAAAAAAAAAAAAAAAAAAAAAAAAAAAAAAA